TGACCTCTCTCATCCCTGGGCACCCCCCTTCTCTTCCTGGGTTCCCAGGGCAGCCTGGGTTCGGGGCTGAATGGGATAGGGAAGCTTGGGGGGCCCTCTGGGTTCCCACCCAGGCCTCCCCCACGGGTCAGGCTCCGGGCGGCCTCTCCGTGAGCAAACCTTCTCGCTCGCTCGGTTTGACCACTGTAAGTGCCTGCACTCTGTATCCTATTAATAAACTAAAATAAAGGGAAGACGCTTCTGGTGGCTCGTGTGTGGGCCTTTTGTGTTGCCATTCAGGCTGAGGGGGTGGGTGGCTGGCCTTCTCTCTGCCCCTCCCACCACGGGCCCCCCGCCCCCATTCCTCACTCACAGGGCCTCGGGGCTCTCAGGTGGGTGGGTTCACTTCTAAGGGGGAGAGCTTTTACTTTCCTAAACACCTCAGGAGTAGAAGCAAATATTCCCCCTCCCCCCATCCCCACGTGCTTCCCAAGTGGCACTGGTGGTAAAGACTGCCTGCTAATGCCAGAGACATAAGAGAGACCAATTCAATCCCTGGGTCAGGAAGATCCCCTGGAGGAGGGCATGGCAACCCACTCCAGTATTCTTGCCTGGAGAATCCCATGGACAGAGGAGGCTTGCAGGCTACCGTCCATAGGGTTGCAAAGAGTCAGACATGACTGAAGCGACTTAACATGCATACACACACTCCATCCCCACACACTTGGCTGGAGCCCCTGACACAGCGCTGATAACAGACCAGGATGGGGAATTGGGACACGTGTGTGAGTTACTGAAGGGAGAGGGTATCCTGGCCGTCCACCTTATACTGTGCAGTGATCAGGCTCCTCCTCACCCCTACAGTCCTGAGGGCTTCCCCCTTCACCTTCTTGGGGGCACAGGCCTTCCGGCCCAGCCCTGGTCACAGTTAAACTTTGCTTTCTGATTTTTTCTCTTGTGCCCAGGCGACCACCTCCATCGGCTCCTGCCCGGCCTTTCTTCTGAGCTTCGTGGGAGACCCCTCCCGCCTGCCCGGCTGCCCTTGGGGGCAGGACTGTCCTGGCTGGTGTCCCTGAGCCCCAATCACCAGGCACTGTGATTTTTTTCTGACCATAATTTATTGACTCTGGTGCCCAGACCACCCTTTGTTCCAGGAGGCTCCCGTGCAGGCTTGAACTGGGCCATTCCTTGGCCCCATCTGGGGCCCCTGCAGGGAGAGCAGGAGGGCCGGGTGGTCTTGCAGACTCCGCTCCCCGAGTTCTGTAACCAGACCTCACACCCAGCCACTCCCCGCTGGGCCAAGGGGCCAGGCCCCTTCCTGTCAATAAAAGTGACTGTTCTGGCAAGAACACTGCAGCCACGTCTTGTTCCCCCTGGCCCCTGGCACAGCAGGCCACCACAGTAGCAGCACAGGCCTCGGGTGGAGCCACAAGGAGAAGGCAGGCAGGCCTAGGATCCCGCAGCAGTCAGCCCCCTCCTATCGGGACCTGACTTTGAAGGCCAGCGGGAAGAGAACAGGGAGTTTGCTTCCTGGGCCCGGTCCAGCACTGCACAGGGCTGGCGCAAACTGGAAGACTGGCTAAGGCACATTACAGTAGGGGACAGAGGCAGGGCCAGAAAACCCCAGGTTGCCTTCGAACCCTGCAGTGCCCCCCATGCACCGTATCTAGGAAAACAGGTGCAGCCCTGAGCCATCCCTCCTGGAGGGACCCACACCTGCAAGCCAGCCGGTGCTCCCCACCCAGGCCTGAAAGGGTGGAGACACGGCAGGTGCCCCACCTCAGCGCTGGAACTGCACAGCCTCCCCTTGGGTAGGAAACTGAGTTGGGGAAGGGACGCCTCTAAGTCTCACATGCATGCGCCCTGCTGCCCCTCCTCTCCCCTGTTCTTCCACAGCAGCAGGCTACGTAGGCACAGGCCGCTTGTCCTGAAAGAAGCGCTTGAGCGTGCAGACTTGCAGCACGGCCACAAGCAGCAGCACGGCCACGTTCACGGCCGACCAGAAGTTGACCCGCTCCAGGTTGCCTTCTTGCAGGTTACGGTCACGTGCCTCAAAGGCTCGCAGCAGAGTCAGCACTTGGATGCTGCGCTCCAGCCGGGTCCTCATGGTCTCGATGGACTCCTGTGGCAGAGAGGGGAAAGGCAAGGCTTTGTCCTGCAAGATGGGAGTGAGGGTTCGTTTGTGGGGGAGAGAGGGAGAGAGCTGAGAGCACAGATTCAGTGGCCAGGCTGCCTGAGCCTCAAGCCCTTTGCCATTCACTGGCTGTGTTACCATGAGCAAGTAAGCAACCTCTCTGGGCCTCAGTTTCCTCCTCCGAATTAAACCTCAGGGTTGTAGGAAATGAATGCCCAATTAGGTATAAAGAGCATACTAATTAGTAATTAATAAAAAGCAGTAGGTGAAGCCAGACTGCTTGGGTTCAAATACTGGCTCTGTTGCTGGCTGTGTGGCCTTAGGAGAATTACTTAGCCATCCTGTTCATCAGTTTCCCCAACTGTAAAATGGGAGATAATTAGAGTACACTCCCTATATATAGAGGGCTTCCCTGGTGGCTCAGATGGTAAAGAATCTGCTTGCAATGTGGGAGAACTGGGTTCAATCCCTGGTCTGGAAGATCCCCTGGAGAAGGGAATCTAATCTAATACCTAATCCAGTATTCTTCCCTACATATACAGTGGTTATGGAGACTTCATGAGATATTTAAGCCCTTAAACCTTAGAACAAAGTTTATACCTAGAAATGTTCTACTGTTATTAGGTTGGGGGCACCAGTATGTAGGGGGCTTCCCAGGTGAGGCTAGTGGTAAAGAACCTGCCTGCCAGTGCAGGAGACATAAGAGAAGTGGGTTCGGTCCCTGGGTTGGGAAGATCCCCTGGAGAAGGGCACAGTAACCCATTCCAGTATTTTTGCCTGGAGAGTCCCATGGACAGAGGAGCCTGGTGGGCTACAGTCCACAGGGTCACAAAGAGTTGGATATGATAGGAGTGAAGCAATTTAGCATGCAGGCACCAATATGGAGGAAAAGCGGGGTCAGGCCCAGGCAGACCCCAGCCAAGGTGAGAGGGCAGGGAGCAATGCCAGAGATCTGGAAGGAGTGGCCCCAGCTCTCCTGGGCGCACCTTGATGTCCTCCATCTTGACATCCAGAATCTCCTCAGGCTCCACAGCCTCTGCCCAGCCCTCGACCTCCTCCTCATCCTGCAGGCTGTCAAAGATGAGTTCAAAGAACACCAGCTTCTCCGAGATGGTGCTGAAGGAGTTGTCAAAGCACAGCTTGTAGTCGCCGGCCTCCGTGGGCTCCACCCTGGGCACACAGACACACAGGACCCTGAGTGGCCGACCAGCAGGCAGGGTGGTAACCCGAGGCCGCCGGCGAGGGCAGGGCTGTAACTGAACCCGGACAGCCAGCGGGACTTAACTCACGTGTGCACACCGTCTGCCTTGCGGGACTCGCTGACCAGCAGCACTCCCTGAGGGCTCTCGAGACTGAAATCCACGTCCAACCCAGCACCTCCGATCACCTGGGGGGCAGGTAAGAGCAGGATAGAGGGCTAGGGCTAAGCCAAAGGCACCTGCCAGAGAAGGTCAGGGCTAGACCGACCCGCATAGACCCATACCGACCACCACCCAGAGGTCTACCTGAGTTCTGACACCTACACCTTCAAGCCAGTCTAGCCCCACTCCCTCCCTCTGGCGCGCCCCTTGCCTTGGCTCCGCCCCCACTGATTTGTCGCCCTCTTATCTGGCCACGCCCCCCATAGAGATCACGTCCCGACTAGGCCATACCCCAAAAGAGATGACGGAGCCCTGCCTTCTTTCCTTAGCCCAACCTCCGAGAACTTATCAGGTTGACCACACCTTTTTTTGTATAGCATCCTGGGCTTCCCTCCCAACTCCCTCAAACGACCCAATCGTTTTGATCACGCCCACTCGCGACGGTCCTGCCTTCTGACGGGCTCCCTCGTTCTCCCGATGGCCCCGCCTCCCCGCTGTCCCACTCTAGCCCCGCCTTCTATTCCCACCCCTTCCGCTCCCACGCGCTGTCCCCGCCCCCCGCCGCGCGCTCTCTGGCTCCGCCCCCGAGCGCTACGCTAAGGCTCCTCCTCCTTCCCTCTTCAATGCATACAAAGCATGCTCCGGTTTGGCCACGCCCCGCCTCCCTGCCTCCGCTCGTTCCCCAACCCGGGACCCTGTACCTGGTACTCAGTCTCAAGGCTTGCGTTGGCCGGCGCGGATTGATAGAAACACTGCTTCCGCCCCGCAGGCAGCAGGAACGTGAACTCGCCGTCCTGGATCGGCGGGGGCCCTGCTCCTCCCACGCCCAGTGGCGGCAGTAGTAGCCACAGGGCCAAGCCTAAGGCCGCGCCGGCCGCCATCATCCGGGTCACTCTCTGGTCTGCTAACCGGTTGCGGTTCCTTTAAGGAAGAGCCCTGTCCCCTATGCTGTTCGGCGGAGTTCATTGGCAGCCGGTCCTGTCCGTTATCCGAGGCCCGCGGAACCAGGAGTGAAGGACCCCGGAGAGCCTAGCTGCCCGAATGAATGCCTGATGCGCCTGAAAACACTCGATCTTTTACAGATTTTTTTTCTTTGTAAAGCCTCCTTTCTAACCTCAAACACTGTGGGGAAAATTACAAAAATAAGACCACGATGGTACATTCTCCTCAGGCAAAAGTTAAGACAACTGTGGTGGAGGCAGCTAGGTCCTGCGGTTTTCCCAAAGTACCCCGCGCGCGACGACTGTTGTTCGAATCAGTCTGGGTGTAAAGTGTCGAAAATAGAAGCAGGGAGTGTGCCTGCACGCGACCCGTAGGGCTCGTGTGTAAAAAAAGCTCAGCTAGGGTGGGTGGAGACTTTTCTATTAACGTGGGTTCTTGCCCGTCTCAGGCCCTTGAGCTTGGCCCCAGGTCCGATGCCTAATCCTTCATTCCTTGACGCCTTAGAACCGTCGCTTTATCAGTCTCCTTGTTTCTAAATCGGAGGTGATGAGAACTGAGATGAGGCCTGGCCCATAGTGAGCTCTCTGCATTTGTTACATATTGTTTGCTCCGGGGCCTGGGCTAACCCTGCACGCGAAAGGTCTCAAACTCGACTGCCCAGGTGCTTAGCGTCAGCAGAGAAAAGCAGAGTGTGGGCTTTCAAGGCAGATTGCCTAGTTCAAACCATGCCCCATGCGTTACTTGAGGCATCACACTGCTGGGCCTCACGGGATGATACTAGTCCTTGACTGGGCTGTTATGAAGATTAAGTAAAGTGATGTTTATTTAGTGCTTGGTGTGTCCATAGGCCCTCAGTAAATATTAATTTATACTCCAGGTTTATCGCCTTGCTTTGGGCATGACGCCAATTAATCTCTCATTCTGGTTTAGAGAATTTGGAGGCAACCTAAGCAAACAGATAAGAAAGATGTCATTGGAGAATCAGACTATGAAGATTCCATTTAAACATAAGAAAAAATGTTCCGCTGACAGTGTTGAGTTGTTCAAGATAGGCCTGAAAGAGGTTGGCAGGTGGTGACAATTATGCTTTGAATACAGCTGGTGGCTGTCAACTACACATTTGGAGAGCTTGGGGAAATAACACTTTGTAATGTCAAAGTTTATGTATGGTCATGCTTGGTATTCCTTTTGCCGGCGGAGGGCAGGAGTACACCACAAGGTGTGTGGGTGTTCCTTACTGTTCCAAGTTTTCCTGTCATTCAGAGTTAGTAGTTGAATATTTTGAAGTAGTTGTGGAAAATGGGTGATAAATTTTTGTTAAGGATTCTTTTTTTAACAAGGGGAAACTCACATTAAAAAGAATCATTTTAAGTAAACAACTCAGTGGCATTTAATTCATTTACAATATTGTACAACCAAACTACTTCTACTCACTTCCAAAACATTTTCATCAGGAAGGAATCCCTGTACCCATTCATCAATTATTCCTCATTCTTTCCTCACCCCAATCTGGTGATCAATCTGCCTCCATGGATTTGCTAATTCTGGATATTTCATGTAAATGGGATGTTTGACTATTAGTGTCTGCCTTGTTTTTCTTAGCATAATGTTTTTAAGGTTTATCATCATATCACTATTTAATTCTTTTTTACAGCTGAGTAGTATTCCATTGTGTGGATATCTATTGGATGCTTGAGTTGTTTCCAATTTTGGCTATTGTGAATAGTACCTCTAGGAACCTGTTTGTATATGTATTTGTTTGAGTATCTGCCTTCAGTTCTTTGGGGGTATATACCTGGGAGTGAAGCTGCTGGCTCATACAGTAATTCTATGCTTAACTGTTTGAGAAACTGCCAAACTTTCCCACAGTAAAGTTGCACAATTTTACATTCCCACCAACCATGTACAAGGGTCCCATCCCAATTTTCCTACATCCTCATCAACATTTGTTATATTCCATTTTAATTTTAGTATATTCCTTCTATTGTATATGAAGTGGTATCTCATAGTAGCTTGTTTGTTTGTTTCCTTTTTGAGGATGAGCCCATTTTATTGAGGGGCATCAAGGGAGGGTCTTAGGACTGGGAGGACAATGAGATCTAACATCCTTCTCCTAACTGGGATCTCCTCAATTTTACAGTCACTGAAAGCTCAGTGTGTAGGTTTGTTTTGTTTTGTTTTGTTTTGTCATGCCACATGGCTTGCAGGATCTCAGTTCCCTGACCAGGAACTGAACCGTGGCCACAACAGGGAAAGCCCAGAATCCTAACCACTAGGTCACCAGGGAACTTCTAAAAGCTCATAGTGGTTTTAATTTGTATTTTCTTAATGATACTGAGCATCCTTTCATGTGCATATTGGTCACTTGTATATCTTCTTTGGAAAAATATCTGTTCATGTCTTTTGTCCATTTAAAACTTGGATGTTGTTACTGTTGAGTTATAATATTCATATATTATGGAATGAAAAAGGAAGAAAGAAAACCTCTCCTGCTCTTTGCCAAACTCTGCTGGAGCACATCAATACTCCATCTGGGTATTTATAACTCTGCCTTAGCCTTCTCTTCCTATTTGCATCAAGCCTAGAAATTGACCGGAGATGAAAGAGTAAGGTCTTAGTAAGTCTTTCCTGATCATCTGTCCTGCTCTGGGTATGCACATTGCTCTCTAATTTCCCCAGTATATATGGGTGCTTTTGAATGCCTTAATTACCCAAAGAAACACCCCAGCTTTTCCTCCCAGCTTTTGCCATGTATGTTACTGTCGTCCATTGTAATCTTGTACACCAGAGAGCTGTGAGTTGTTCCTTTACCTTACAGTGTTTTCTAGGAATACGTTCTGAGTTAAAGCACATTGAGTCAGTCCCTCAGGTTACCCCCAGACATGCTAGAACACACACACACAATACTGTGAGAATGAGGGCTGTTCTGCTCCCTCCGAAACTGGGAACCGGGGCCCCATGCTGAGGACACAGGTGGCTATCTTCAGATCCTCCACTGTGCTGGGCTAGGAGATGAGGAAGGGTATGGAAAACACCACAAAGCTTTCCTGCCACGTTCAAGTTGCCTCTTCTTGATTTGCATTTCCTTGGTTGACATAAATGTTTAGCTGTTTTCCTGAGTTCAGATAAAATTGATTTTTACCATTTTTGCTCAATTTGTTGATGTTTTGGATGAGATACAGGCCTATAGAGCTACGAACCCCACCTTTTTCACTGTTATCTGGGGTGAATGGGTGATTCTTGTTTTCCCTCGATTAAGTAAAATCCTCCCTCTCCCCCAGGATTCAACAAAATGTACTGGGTAGACATTACCAGTGTCTTGGGCGCTATCATCTCAGTGCTGCTCCACTAAATGATTTCAGACCCTCAGAGGTGCTCAGAAGTCAATGCTAGGGGAGTAGGTAAGGTGATTTATTTCACCTAGGTGGAGTCGGGGAGAGCTTCCCCAAGGAGGTGACATTGAAGTTCAGATTTGAAGTAGTCGGGAGAAGAAGAAAGCAGAAAAAAACAGTTCTCTGACATCAAAGGCACTGAGAGAGTTCAAGGGGCAGAAGGAGGATGAAGGTGGGGTAGGTGGGAGGAGTAGCCAGAGAAGAGATGGGACTCTTGGGCAGACAGCCCGTCATACAAGGCCCCTCTTCCCTTTGTGATGTTGGCCCAGAGTCTTACCGGGGGTTCTTATGACCGTGGGGAGTTGGCCGACTGGCTTCTGGAGGTCAGAGATTCCCCTGAAATTATAATCAAAAGATTACAAGAGCGTGTGCTGGGCAGTGTGTTTTCCCCACCAGAACTATTCTCTACCATACTGTGTACTGTTTCACAGTGGGGGCGGAGGGGTGAGGGGGGCTGATAATCTCCACACTGGATCAATGTGGCTGCCTTTTCCTCTGCTTTCCAGTTGAGTTTGGCCCTGGTAGGATATCTAAAGGCTGCAGGAAAGGAAGGTCTAGGTATCTATTCCCTGGCTCCTATCTTTTTAGTCTGCATCTTTCGACAAAAGCCTGTAACTCTAACTCTCTCCAAGTTCCAGGACCACTCCCCCTCCAGCAACTTCAGGCCTGGCTGCTAACAGTGACCATAGGAAGTCACCGTCCCTCATTGCTCCCCTTTCACCCTGCTCATGACTCCTCAGCTCTGTCTCTTAAGGGCATGATCTGTGTGACAGCTGACCAATACAGGTATGTGTATCTGTGTTACTGAATTCAAAATTCCAGGTTATAGATCCCTGCATCACATCAGATGCTCCCAGATGAAGTCTTTACTTACATCCAAGACCCTGTCCCCCTCTACCTACAATGCCCTCCTTCCATCTCCTTCTCAGGCTTTCAGAGTCAGATGTCACCTCCTCCCAGAAACCTTCCTTGAACTTCCTGAAGCTGAGTGAAGAACCTTCCTCAGCGACAAACTCAACATAGCACTTTACCAACCGGACTGTCACTGTCTGCTTGTCTGACTCACTGAACTCGGGGCTCCCAAGTGCAGGAACTGTTTCATGGCATCCCTGGTACCCAGGATGGTTCTAAGCCCTGGTGGCATAAATAAACCAAGTATCTCATACACACCCAGAAAAAAGCCACAAAAGTAGACTGAGGGAATGTGTTTTGGCTTTCAAGTCAGACAAGCCCAAAATATTTATTGTTCACTGTGTGCCAAGCACTGATGTAGGCATTGGGAAACTGCAGGAGATACCACAGGCTCTGTCTCTGTACTCTGGAGGAAGATATCTGGATGAATCCAGTAAATTCAAGCATGTTCTATGAACCATGCTGACCTAATCTAATTGATATTTACAGAATATTACACCAAGCAACGGAGAAGGCAATGGCAACCCACTTCAGTACTCTTGCCTGGAAAGTCCCATCGTCGGAGGAGCCTGGTAGGCTGCAGTCCATGGGGTTGCAAAGAGTCGGACACGACTGAGCGACTTCACTTTCACTTTTCACTTTCATGCATTGGAGAAGGAAATGGCAACCCACTCCAGTGTTCTTGCCTGGAGAATCCCAGGGACGGCGGAGCCTGGTGGGCTGCCATCTATCGGGTCACAGAGAGTCGGACACAACTGAAGCAACTCAGCAGCCTCACTAGCAGCACAGGAAGCAACTGCAAAGTGCATTTTCATTTTTTGTGCACATTGTATGTAGATATATACTGGCCACTGAAAAAAGTATCGGACTTCCCTGGTGGTACAGTGGATAAGAGTACACCTGTCAATGCAGGGGACACCAGTTCAATCCCTGGCCTGGGAAGATCCCACATGCCTCGGAGCAACTAAGCCCATGTGCCGCAACTACTGAGCCCACTCACCTAGATCCCATGCTCTGCAACAAGAGAAGCCACCACAGTGAGAAGCCCTCGCACTGCAACCAAGAGTAGCCCCCCGATCGCCACTACTAGAGGAAGCTGGCAAGCAGCAAAACTCAACACAGCCAAAAATAAATAAATGAAGTGCCAGTTAAACATATGGTAACTGGAAGAAAGAACAAAATAAAGATAAGACCATGAAGCAATGAAATAGAAAACTAAAAATAGAGAAAAACAACAAAGTCAAAAGTTGCTACTTAGAAAAAGATTAAGAAAACTTAATAACCCCCAGCAAGACTAATCAAGAAAAAAAAAAGAGAGAGAGAGAGAAAGCACAAATTACTCTTATTAGGGATGAAAGAGGAGACACCACTACGAACACTACAGACAATAAAAAGCAAGCAAGGAAATATGAACAGGCTTATGGCGATGAGTTTGATAATGTAGATGAAATGGACAAACATGAAAATACACACATGCTAGTTGCAATCAAAGAAAATTACAAGGTACTATCCTGGAATTCAGAAAGGGGATTTTTCTAAGCTCAGAGGGATCTGGGAAGGGATCTGGGAAGATTTCCTTAAAAAATTAGAATTTAAACAGAGACATGGACTTCCCTGGTGGTCCAGTGGTTAAGAAACTGCCTGCCAATAGAAGGGGCATGGGTTCAATCCCTGGTCCAGGAAGATCCCACATGCCATGGAGCAATTAAGCCCATGTACCACAACTACTGAAGCCTGAATGCCCTAGAACCCATGCTCCACAACAAAAGAAACCCCCATAGGAAGAAGCTTGCACACCAGAACTAGAGAGTAGCTCTCACTCACTGAATCTAGAGAAAGCCTGTGCAACAACAAAGACCCAGCACAGCCAGAAAAAAAAAACCACCCTAAGACCTGAAGGAGAAGTGGGATTTGACCAGGTCGATAGAATTGTGTTCCATGCAGGGATGATGGCTTCCATGCAGGGATGATGGCATCCATGCAAAGGTCCTGAGGTTGAAATCAGCTTTGTGTATCCAAAGAAAAAGTCCACTCTAATGATCCTTGTTAATGTTGGCAACTATACACTTGCATCCTTCCTGGGTGTAAACCGCCAGGTGGGCCTGGCAGACTTGACCAGAAATATTTAGAGACTAAGGTTGGTAAGACAGACCTTTGGAAATTTCCTGGCTGTCAACAGGAGGCAATTTATGCTGCAAACGATGTCATTTCCTCCATTCTGGAGCTGATGTGGCCTTTCACCTGACTGGCGAAGCTCCTGAGACACAGGAGCTTGTGTGGCCTCACCCTATGAACACTCACACTCCACGAACCAATATACTTTGTCCCACAAATTCTTTGGAGCTAGTGTCTGCTACTCAGCCCTATTCTTCCAGGCGGCAAGCAGAGGACTTGCTAGGAAGTCCAGGAACGACTGTGCCTTGCTTGAGGTCACAGAGGCCAAGCCCTAATCATCGTGCCCTACCAACTTCCACCGCACACGTTTCAACTTTTTGGCACATGTTGGGCCACCTTTTGTGACTTGGAGCTGGGTTTCCCATACAACCCACATTCCCTGTGCCCATGTTCCTCATGCCCAGTTAGGGAAAAATAAACACACACACACACTGGACCATCTCATCCACCTTTTCCTCCCATCTGCCGAACCTGGGCCCCCAAGGAGCAGTGAGGTGCCAGGCTCTGATGTGTGTCTGTGGAAGGGGTGGGGAGGGGAGAGAGTCCCTTTCGGTACCCACTGCGTGTGTGTGCAATTTCCTGCCAGTGAGGAAACACTCCGCTCAAATCAGCCCTGGTTCTCCTTTCCCTGCTCTGGCCTCACAGGAGGAGCTGGCAGCGAGCCGCGGGCCACCCGAGCCTCCGCCAGATTTCCTGACCAAACGCGGGAGGAGAGATGCCCTGGATTGTCCTGCTGCTTGCAGCTGGTGAGCTGATGTCCCTGTGCCACCCTTCGCCCTGTTCCGCTCCCTCCATCCACCACCTTTTCTCTGCTAGGGGGCGGCGGGGAGGGGTGCGTGCACACACACCAGGAGCTGGAGAGGCTGAGCCCTGACAGATTTGCCCCAGAGCCTTGGAAATGGCCCCGGAGCATGGACGTCTCTTGTGGGGTCTCAGTACCCCCACATCACAGGTATTAGAAATGCCACCCCACTGGAGACAGCAGTGCCCACACCCCATGACTCAGCCCTGCTTGGCCTCTGCAGGTTTCTACCTCCAGGACTGGGGCAGCAGGAGGATCTACTGGTGGGTCGGAGAGGGTGGCAGGGAAGCTGGACAAGGAAAGGCTGGTGTCGACCTCACCTGAGCCAGACGCTCCACACGGGAACCTGGGGTAGCCGGAGAGACACTGGTCCCTCCTGCAGGAAGCCGTGCCCTGAAATCGTATCCCTCATCACAGCCTGGGAAACGAGATAGAGTCACTCTCCCCTCGATCACCCCCACCTCCTGCCACCTGGACTCCTTGAGCACCCCACACCCCTTCCAGCCTCCAGCCTTTGCCTGAGATGCCTAGAATGCTCGCTCCCAGCTTTTCCGTACTGTGTCTTCAGGGAAGCCCTCTCTGGCTACTCCATCACCCTCATCTCCTTGAGAATGTCAGCTCCCCAGGGCAGGCATGTCTTGTCTGTTCATCTGTCTGTCTATCTCATCCACTGCTCTGTCCCCAGAGCCTAAACAGGGCCTGGCATGTGGTCAGTGCTGTTGATAGAAGTCATACGAGTGTAACTCTGATGCTGTGTAACATCCACGGCTATTATAATAAAATGACTCCAACAACATGACCTCTCACCACATGCTGGGCACTTGATCCTCTCAACATAGCAATAGGGTAGGGACAACTAGGGGCTTCCCAGGTGGCGCTAGTGGTAAAGAACCTGCCTGCCAATGCAGGAGGCACAGGTTCGATCCCTGGGTCAGGAAGATCCCCTTGAGCAGGGCATGGCAACCCACCCCAGTATTCTTGCCTAGAGAATTCCATTCAGAGAGGAGCCTGGCAGGCTACAGTCCATAGGGTCACAAAGAATCAGACATGACTGAAGTGACAGTGTGCACACAGAAGGACAACTAGCCTCCAGTTGTACATAAAAACCAAGGCCCAGAGAGGGTGAGCCATTTGCCCAAGGCTACACAGCCAGGCCGGCCTCTGCTCTAACCACCCACCCACCTAACCTCCCCATCTTGCTTCGCAGGCTCCTTGGCTATCCCGGCGCCATCCATCATGCTGGTGCCCCCACACCCCAGCAGTCAAGAGGACCCCATCCACATCTTGTGCATGGCCCCCAGGGGTTTCCCAGGGGCAAATTTCACGCTGTACCAAGGTGGGGAGGTGGTGGAGCTCCTGAAAGCCCCCAAGGACCAGCTCAGGGTCATCTTCAACCTGAGCGGTGGCAGCAGGGAAGCTCGAGGGGGACCGTTCTGCTGCCAGTATAGTGTGCTTGGCGAGAACAGGCAACCCCAGCTGTCGAACCTCAGCGAGCCTGTGCATGTCTCCTTCCCAGGTAAGTCCCTCCCATCGGCCCTCACTGCCCGGGCTCCATCTTCTCATGGCCAAGCCGTTGTTGGCACTCCTCTCTGCTGGGGAGTCATCACTCTTCCAACTTGCCAGGACTTTCTTTTCCTTGTTTAATCCTCAGTCACCATATGCCATGGAGAAGGCAATGGCAAGCCACTCCAGTACTCTTGCTTGGAAAATCCTGTGGATGGAGGAGCCTGGTAGGCGACGGTTCACAGGGTCGCAAAGAGTCGGACACGACTGAGTGACTTTGCTTTCACTTTCACCATATGCAATGGGTACAGTCATTCTTCTCATTTTCCAGATAAGGAAACTGAGGCACAAGAACTGAAGAGGCTGGCCTGGGTCACTCAGCCAGCAGGCAGCAGAGCTGGAGTTCCACTGGCCTCTGAAGTCCAGACGTTAAACCTCCACCCTTAGCTGGCCACAGCATTTATGAGCACCTGCTATGCACCAGGCACTGTCCTTGGCATTGCAGGCTCAGCAGTGGATGAAACAAAAGTCCCTGCCCTCTTGCACATTATGAGGGGGTGGCAATGGACATCAGATGATAAATAAGGAGTGTTGTAAATATTCAGTCAGCTAGTGGGGGACAAGGGAAGTGACAGGGATGAAATACAGCCTTGTGAAGGGAATCTTTTTTTTTTTTGGTTGTGCTACATGTCTTGCAGGATCTTGATTCCCCAACCAGATAGGGAACCCAGACCCTAGCAGTGAAAGTGCTAGAGTCCTAACCACTGGACCACCAGGGAATTCCCAAGGGTGTCACTTTAAATAGAGAGGAGAGTGATCAGGGAAGGTCTTTCTGAGGAGGTGATGTTTGAGCCTGAAGGATGAGGAGCCAGCCACATGGCTGTCTGGGACAGGACGGAGCTGGCTGTGCAAAGGCCCTGAGGCTGGAGCGTGCCTGGTATGTTTGAGGGACGTGGAGGCACCCCATATGGCTGAAGCATAGCGAGCAAGGGGAAAGTGGGGAGGAGATGAGGGCAGGGGGAGGCAAGGAGGATCATGCAGGGCCTTGTGGCTGCAGTAAGGACTCAGGCTTTTTGTCTGAGTGCGACTGAAGCCCTGGGAGCGAAGATGTCCTCCTCTGGTCTTTCCAGGAGTGGGGGCTGGGCCTGGTCTTTGGATCAAGGAGCAGGAGGGAGGGAGGAAGGGAGGAGCCTCGGGGTAGACTCCCTGCGTCACCAACAGTCAGAACTTTCCTGCTGCAAAGAGAAGGTTGTAGTCAGCAGAGGCCCACTGGCTGTGATGACAGAACACTCTCTGTGTCCTTTCCCGGCCTCAAGTTCCACTATCAAAGGCCCCCTTCTCTCACCTTGGACCTGTGGTCTCAGAGTAGGGCGGTAACAGCGCTCCTGCCCCAGATGAAAGAATGAACAAGGGCTAACACTGAGAACACCCAAGTGAGCACCTCTCCTCCCCTCCTGGCTAGTTCCTGACCTCCACTGGGGTCCAGGCATCTCCTCCTGGCTCCCCTGAGACATTCCTTGCCTCTCTCCAGGGAGGGGCAGCCAGATCTCTTGCAGAGACATAAACTCTGGAGCCAGGGCTTCATGCTTCTGTGGCTACCTCTGTGTGGGCCTCAGAGTCCACCATGTGGCTGGGGATGGATGTCGTCTGACCCTGTTCTCCAGCCAGCAAGACTCTTCAGACCACAAGTAACTGAAAACTGGACTCAAATTGGCTTCAGCAACAAAAGGGGATTTGTTGGTTTACTGAACTGAAATTTGTTCATGGCACTGATTTCCGGCATGGCTGGATCCAGGTTCTCAACGATGTCAGGAATCACGTGCCACTTCTCAGCTCTGCTTTCTTCTGTGTCTTATTCTTAGGCAGGCCCTCCCTCTCATGATGTCAGAATTGTATACCTTGGAGCTCCAGATGTATATCCTACCAGCTTTGCAATGCTAGCCGGAGGAGTAAGCCTCTTTCCAGAAATCTAGCCAAAGTTGAGAAATTAGTTTCATTGGCTCAACTTGGGCAATGTGCCACTCCCTGAACCAATTAGATTAGCCAGGGGTAGGGAATATGCTAATTGGCCAGACAGTATTGCTAGATCCCCAAGGTCTAGCTGTACCTAAACCAAATGTTTCTGGGGTATAGGGGGAGGGCTGGCTCTCTAAAGGTAGCCCGGATGTATGCCAGGAGTCCCACTTTCTCCCCGCACCCCCACAATTCCATGGCCTACCCAATCTGTCTTTTCCCCATCTTCCTCTAGTGCCCACCTGGATCCTGGCACTGTCCTTGAGCCTGGCTGGAGCTGCTCTCCTCCTCGCTGGACTGGTGACCATTGCCCTGATCATCAGGAAAGGTAACAGCAGGCAGAGAAAGTGTGGCTCACCAGAACTTGCAAATGCACTAAAATGCACTCCAACTCACACCCATTTTTAGGAACACAGAAGCACACAATTGGGAGTTCTTACTCCAAAAATTTATCAGTGAAGAACCTTTCAGAATTTCGATGATGGTGGTGGGCAGGGGAAATTCATATATATATGGTAAAATATACATGATGTAAAATTTGCCATTTAACTCTTTTTTTTTAATTTATTTTTTTATTATTTATTTTTTAATATTTTTGGCCATGCTGTGGGGCTGGTGGGATCTTAGCTCCCCAACCAGGGGTCAAACCTGAGCACCTGGCAATGAAAGTGAACTGCTGGGGAATTCCTTTTTTTTTTTTTGTGGTTTTTTGCCTTTATTTTTTTTTTTAAATTTTTTTCCATTTATTTTTATTAGTTGAAGGCTAATTACTTTACAATATTGTAGTGGTTTTTGCCATACACTGACATGAATCAGCCATGGATTTACATGTATTGCCCATCCCAATCCCAGTTTCTAATCAATTAGATTTTTAAATGTTTACTTTTGTTTTTTTTCCCAAAAAAAAACAAAGTAATTAGTAATTACTTTTCCAATTATTTGTAATTATTTTTTTCATGTTTAATATACAAAGCATTTAACACATTTATTATCCCAGAGCTAGATGTCAAAACACAGCTTAACTTGGCTATCATAGAGCCTTAGGGTTTCCATTTAGCTGAATTACACTTTCTTTTTTTTTCTTTTTTTTTTCAATTTATTTTTATTAGTTGGAGGCTAATTACTTTACATCATTACAGTAGTTTTTGTCATACATTGAAATGAATTAGCCATGGATTTACATGTATTCCCCATCCCAGTCCCCCCTCCCACCTCCCTCTCCACCCGATCCCTCTGGGTCTTCCCAGTGCACCAGGCCCGAGCACTTGTCTCATG